ATGATGATGATGATGATGATGATGATGATGATGATGATGGCATGCTGATGATGAAGATGCTGCTGCTGCTGCTGATGATGATGATGGTGACTGCCATGACTGTGATGATGACGATGATGCTGATGATGATTATGATGGTGATGCTGGCTGTGATGATGATGCTATGCTGATATTAGTGAGGATAAGGAGGACGAGCATAATGTGGAGGAGGAGGAGCAGGAGGAGGTGGAGGAGGATGACGATGATACGGATGATGCTTGTCATGATGATGCGGATGTTGGTGATGGTGATGCTGGTGATGATGATGCGGATGTTGGTGATGGTGATGATGATGATGATGAGGAGGAGGATGAGGATGAGGATGATGATGATGATGATGATGATGATGATGATGATGATGATGATGATGATGATGATGATGATGATGATGATGATGATGATGATGATGATGATGATGATGATGATGATGATGATGATGATGATGATGATGATGATGATGATGATGATGATGATGATGATGATGATGATGATTGATGATGCTGATGTTCATGATGCTGATGATGCTGATGCTGCTGATGATGCTGATGCTGAAACTGATGATGTTGGGGGAGGAGGGGAGGCTTAACTGGGTGAAGTTGAGGAGGATGAGGTTGCACCCTCGCCCCGCGCTGGGCGACAACATGGCAGGACCTCCAGAAGGTGCAGGAGGTGGATGAGGGCTGGCGAGGAGGGCGAGGGAGGAGGAGGAGGAACATGAGGAGGAGGAGGAGGAGGAGGACGAGGAAGTGTGGCATGAGGAAGGTCCGTCAGGCCCCTCAGTGGAGTTGTACAACAACACGGCTTGATCTCAAGGGGCCGTCCGAGCGACGAAAGAAGTGGGTTCTTCTGTGAGGTCATTCGCGCGCAAGCTTCCCGCACAGTGTCGCGCGTGAGTGCCCTCTCTTCTGCGCGAGTTGCTTCGTCATCGGCCCGCGCAGTCCACCGCGTAAGGTCGGCGCGCCGTGGTGCGCAGGGCCCCCTTCTCTTCGTCGCTCGCCTGCGCAAAGCGCACCTCTTGCACGGTCTCGCGTTTCGGTAGTCCTCTTTGGGAGGATCGCGCTACCTTCTGGCTGGCGTCCCAGCCGCACCACCGCTTGCCTCCTGGCAGACGCCGGGATAGGATTCGCTTCGGGGCGCACAGGCGAGCGACTGCCATCGAAGACCCGACAGGACGAAACGGTATCGCGAAAGCTCATGATCGTCAGGCGGTCTGGCGGAGCCCGGCGATGCTTCCTGCGTGACGTATGCGCGAAGCTGTCCCCGCAGGTTGCCGCAGAGAAGCCCTCCGACGGCATGCTTTTTCGATTCGCCGGCCCCAGGACCTCGCGGCCCCTTCCCGACGACCAGCTTCTCATCCTGAGGTTTGTATTGACGGACCCTGGGCTTGTAAGCGCCCTCTGGACGACGAAAACAATGAAACACATCGGGCGCGATTTGTCCAAACCTCTATATATCCAGGTAGCTGGGTGGTTGGTTCCTTCGTCTGGGGTTGCTTTCCCAAAGATCCGCCCCCCATGGGGACCAACGAACTGGCGGCTTTCTGTAGACTGGGAGCGCCCTCCCCCGCTTTGGTCCTCATCCTCATGTTGTGGGGCCGATCGCTCATCATTCGTTGTGGGCCGAGCAAACGCATGACTATTTCCCAAGATGGGGCTATGTAAAAAGGGCCCAACCCCGCCAATCCAGATGTTCATTCTCTTGCTCAGCTGTCTTCTGGAGCTTGAAGCCCTTGATTCTCTTGCACAGTATGCTCCAGGGCCCAGGCCTATTCATTGTCGTCGATGATCGTCGTTCGTCCTTCTTCCCTGGCCTCCCCCAGACTTCCCCCCCGGCATGGCTTCGGTGCGCCGCCCCATCTGGCCTCCCCAGGCATCCCCCCTGCGCCGCGGAAACCTTCATTTTTGCCGCTCGCCGTCAGTAGTCCTCCTCCCCTGGCCTGCCCCCGGCTTCCCCTTGGTCTGGCCTCGGCCTCCCCCTGTCCTCTGCCTGCCCGCCCCAGCCCCCCGCCTCTGGCCCGGCTTCCCTGGGCTGTGCGCCGCCCCATCTGGCCCCCCCTTGGCACCCCCCCTCCCCCGCCGCCTCCCGCCCCGGCCACGCGCGGCTCAGGCACCTTACAGGGGGCCCTCCGCTCCACGCCGCGCCATGGCGCGGTCCCCCGCGCCCCCGCGGCCAGAAGGCCAGGAGGAGAGCGCCGGCAGTCCTCCGCCGCCCCCTGCGGCGACCCCGGCGCCCCCGCGCAGCCCCGCGGCCCGCAGCCCCGGCCGCGTCCCGGCGCCCCCGCCGCGCAGCCCTGCGGCCCGCAGCCCCGCCCGCGCCCCGGCGCCCCCGCGCAGCCCCGCGGCCGCCAGCCCCGGGCGCGCCCGGGCGCCCCCGCCGCGGCCGGACGCCGGGGGGCGGCAGGCCGTCTCCGCAGGCTGGCCCGGCGGTGTGCCGCCCGGCAGGGCGGGTGCCCGGCCGGCGGCGGCGCGGCGGCCCTCCACGTGCCCCGGGGGCGGCGCGCTGGCGGGGCGGCCCTCCACGTGCCCAGGCGTCGAGCGGGCCACGTCGCTGCCGGCGCTGCCGTCCCGGCCGGCGCTCAGCCAGGGGCGCGCGGACGGGCGTGTGGACGTGTGGGACGAGCAGGGGGGGCTGCTGGAGGCGGCCAGCCCCAGCCAGCATTCGTCCGCCTCGAGCAGGTTCCCGAGGCTGCGGGTTCCCGATGCCGTGGGCTCTCGGGCGGACTCTCGGACGGGCTCCCGGATCTCCAGCATAAATGGCCTGTCGAGCGCGGCGCAGCAGCACAACATCAAAACACAGATGGCGTCGGAGCAGATAGAAAGCTACGACACTGACGGCGGACGTGCCGTCAGCAAGGCAATGTCCTTCGTCAGGACCCGCACTCTGAACGGAACTGCGGCCAGGAACATTACGGCGTCTCACGACATCCAGTTTCGCGAGACGGCGAGCGCCGTCGACGAGCTGATAAAGCAGATCAACCGTGGGTCCAGCGGCGCCGACGAGCAGCCTGCCGTCGAGCGCAGGAGCCTCGAGAGGTGCGAGAAGAGGCGCTCGGCGGAGCGCGAGCAGCCCGCCGCGGAGAGGGGCGGCGGCACCGAGGATGCTCGCGCGCGGCCGCGATGCTCCTGACGTCGTCGTCGTCGTCGTCGTCGTCGTCGTCGTCGTCGTCGCTGCCTTCGTCGGCCGTCGGTCGTCGTCGTGATCGTGAGTCGTCGGTCGTCGGTCGTCGGTCGTCAGTCGTCGGTCGTCGGTCGTCGGTAGTCGGTAGTCGTCGTCGTCGTCGTCGTCGTCGTCGTCGTCGTCGTCGTCGTCGTCGTCGTCGTCGGCAGTTTTCGTCGGTCGTCGGTCGTCGGTCGTCGGTCGTCGGTCGTCGTCGTCGTCGGTCGTCGGTCGTCGGTCGTCGGCCGTCGGTCGTCGTCGTCGTCGTCGTCGTCGTCGTCGTGGCCATGCTGGTGGTGGTTGTCGTCACTCGTGGACGCCGTCGTCGTCGTCGTCGTCGTCGTCGTCGTCGTCGTCGTCGTCGTCGTCGGCAGTTTTCGTCGTCGTCGGTCGTCGGTCGTCGGTCGTCGTCGTCGTCGGTCGTCGGTCGTCGGTCGTCGGTCGTCGGTCGTCGTCGTCGTCGTCGTCGTCGTCGTCGTCGTCGTCCTCGTCGTCGTCCTCGTCGTCGTCGTCGTCGTCGTTGTCGTCGTCGTCCTAATTGGAGAGGTGGAGGAGGATGCGGAGCGGGGAGAGGGGGTCGGCGACGTGGAGGAGGAGGAGGAGGAGGAGGAGGAGGAGGAGGAGGCGGGAGTGAGGGAGGGAGGGAGGGAGGAAGGAAGGAAGGAAGGAAGGAAGGACGGAAGGAGGGAAGGAAGGATTGGAAGGAAGGAAGGAGGAGGAGGAGGAGGAGGAGGAGGAGGAGGAGGAGGAGGAGGAGGAGGAGAGGAAGAAGGAAGGGAGGAGGAGGAGGAAGGAAGGCAGGAAAGAAGGAACGAAGGAAGGAAAGAAGGAAGGAAGGAGGAGGAGGAAGAAGAGGATGATAAAGAGAAGTTGGTAGTATGAGTCCAGCTGACCAGCTCGAAAAAGTCATGAGTTCCCGCCTACTGCCACCGTCTCTCGCTCCCTCCCATAAGGCGAGAGGAGATGTCAGCCCAATTAGTAATTGGGACTGGTGCGTGCCCCCGCCTAGCGAGTGGAAGGCACTCGCGCACGCGCGGCCCCGCCTCCAACGATGTGCTCGAAGACAAGCACACGCCGCGCTCAAGTCGGAACGCCACTGCCTGGAGGAGCCTGGGCTCATGGCGAACCAATATTCCGTTTGCTGGCTCCGTGGCCCCAGTTCCGATAAAGTTCGACGAGGGGAGAGCGTGTTTCACGCCCAGACGGGAACACAGCTCTCAGAGGAGAGCACCGCGACGCGGGAGCCACAGCGACGCCTCGCTCTTTCGGGCGCAGCCCCGATTCCGACGATTCGGCGGAAGAAGAAACAGTCGGCCCGAGAGCCTCAGCCCTCGTGGAGGCTTTCCGTCAGCACTGCGGTGGCACCGCCAGTGGCCCTGGACATCACTGAGGCTCCCGCCGAGACGCCCCCGCTGAGGCTCCATATCTCCGACATGTCACCGCCAGGGCTACCACCTCTGGGGCACTGGCTTCACCCGCCACCTGCAGCAGCTCCATCCGGCCTTTGTGGCCGCCGAGGGCCGTCGACTGGCACCTTAGCGCGTAGCCCCACGGGTATTGTACAGTTGGTACACCAAATAACAAATTGGCCTGCCAACGGGTGGGCCACGACGATTTCTTGTCTACCGATGGGGCCCCAGAGCTTTGGGCACTTTGCGAAGCTCGGTGTCGACGAAGGATGTGCCCTTAGATTTCTTATAGCACGACTTATTTATCGTATGTGCCTACCCCCGCAGGGGTCTTGGTCCTGATCAGCACCCCCTCAGGCCACTGTGAGCATTCACTTGGCCCGCTTAATATTTGGCTCAAGACCAGAGGCTGCATCGCCTGCCCCTCGTCTTACGTTCCGGACCCCCCCGGCGAAACTGCCGCCGAGGCCGCCATGGGCGGCTGGCAGCAAGTCGACAAATTGGTCCGCAAAAACTTTTTGCTCAAGGCGCGGCGCCCTCGATCGACATGCTTCGAGCTCGTCATGCCCATCATCCTGTTCGGGATCCTCGTACTGCTGAGGCGCACGTACAACGGCGAGATCGAGACCTTCCCCGCCACATTCTATCCCCGGGGGGGACGAAGGGGTGATGGGGGGAAAGGAGGGGAGATACGACATTTGCTGCACGCAGCTAGCTGGTTTACGCCCTGCCGCGCTGAGCACCCTCGGTGTGTGGCTGCTCCCGGCACCGTAGGGCGCCTGGGAAGCCAAGTGCATGCAGCTGATTCGGTCCCCCCACTTTGCCACGGTAGGTTCTTGTCGCGTCGACACGGCGACGACCCCAGAGCGGGCGCTCAATCTTGAATTCTTCACGCTTCGCGTATCCCCACCAGCCCATCTCAAAACAGCAACTCTTGCGAAGCATGCCGACAGTCGTGTTTTTCAGGCGTGTTTCCGCCTGCCCCCGCATATCTCCGGGCCTCTCGTTCTGGTGTGAGTCGTTCGGGCCCTTCTTCCTGGTGTGAGTCGTTCGGGCTCTTCGTCGTGGTTTGAGTCGTTCGGGCTCTTCGTCCTGGCGTGAGTCGTTCGGGCTTCCCGTGGTGTGAGTTGTTCGGGCCCTTCGTCCTGGTGTGAGTCGTTCGGGCTCCTCCTCCTGGTGTGAGTCGTTCGGGCTCCTCGTGGTGTGAGTCGTTCGGGGCCCTCGTCCTGGTGTGAGTCGTTCGGGATCCTCGTGGTGTGAGTCGTTCGGGCGCCTCGTCCTGGTGTGAGTCGTTCGGGCCCCTCCTCCTGGTGTGAGTCGTTCGGGCTCTTCGTGGTGTGAGTCGTTCGGGCCCCTCGTCCGGGTGTGAGTCGTTCGGGCGCCTCGTCCTGGTGTGAGTCGTTCGGGCCCCTCCTTGTGGTGTGAGTCGTCCGGGCTCTTCGTGGTGTGAGTCGTTCGGGCCCCTCGTCCTAGTGTGAGTCGTCGCTTCGGGCTCCTCGTGGGGCCTCTTGGGGGCCTCTTGGGGGCCTCTTGGGGGCCTCTTGGGGGCCTCTTGGGGCCTCTTGGGGCCTCTTGACGTCTTGGGGCCTCTTGGGGGCCTCTGGGGGGCCTCTTGGAGGCCTCTTGGGAGCCTCCTGGGGGCCTCTTGGGGCCATCTTGGGGCCTCTTGCGACCTCCTCAGAAGCGCAAATGAGAGCTGCCCCCCGAGAAGGACAAAATGAGCCCAAAACCTTTGTAAAATCAATGATTTTGCTATGAAGGACGATGAGCGCTGCCCCCTCAGAAGCCCCAAAATGGGGCCCAAACCCTAGTAAAATCAATGTTTTTGGCTTCACAGAAGAGGAGAGGGTTTTTTCTCAGCCCCCCCGTCGGGGCCAGAATCCTCGTGAGGGTCGTCGTTTTTTAGCCCTCCCAGGAGTCGAAAAAGACCCCTCTGACCACCTGCCGGACTCCCTCTCCAGGCCCAGGGGGAGGGGGTAGGGGGAGGGGTAAACCCCTCCCCGAAGGGGAAGAAGGGGGGTTGAGGACAGAGCGGGCTCTCTAAACCACTCACGCCCAAAGGGCTGGTGGGATTCCGCCAGTGGCTCAGAACCGGCTAACATGGAACGATCTGGCGAGCGAAATACCGCGGATCGTTCAAGGTCGAACGATCCATTCGGTGTCACGAGCCCACTCCGAAGTCCTCATGACGCGAGTCTGCTGTACCCCCCCCCCGCTCGTCCACCCCGATGTCCGAAGTCGTACATCTTCCCACTGTCCCAGGATCGGGCGAAGAGAACTCAGCACATGCACCGATCCTGGTCAGACCCATCCTTGGCCCAGGATCGGTGCGCGTGCCTCCCTAGCCTTGGCAGGAGGGCGTGTGCACCGATCCTGGGCCGAGGATGGGCCTGGTCCGAACTGGTGCACGTGCATAGTTCTCCTTCGTCCACAGGACCTCGTCAATGGGCGGCTAGGTGACACGCTCGGCTTCGGTGCGGGCCTTGGACTGCAACCATCGGAGGGTGGCCAGGGCTTCGGCGGCCGCCTCGTGGCCTCCGCGCTCTGCAACGGCACCGTGAGGCAGATGGCAACGGAGTGGCTGGAGGCTGGAAGAAGGAAAAGCTGGCAGACAGAGGGAGACAGCAGCCAGGCGCTGAACAGCGCACAGGCAGAGAATAGAAGCACGACGTAAGATACAACACGCACTGACGTGTTCTTCAACATTTTAAAGCATGGCCGAACAACCTGTGAACAGTCGGACACGATTTGAAACTACAATTTCGAAGAAGAAACAGTTGCATTAACATAAACTTTCGGAGGTCCGCGCGGATTTCTTGGATCTTCGCCTGGCCCGCCTGGCGGTGTATCCGGCGCCGCCCCTGGCTCGCTCCGCGCGCCAGGGAGTGGGGGGCCATCGCCGATCTAAGACATCCACGCGGAGATCCCAAAAGTTTGTGCTGAAGCCGTTGTTGCTTGCTCCTTCAGAAATTCTATGGCCCCAGCGGGGGTGACCACATGGCGTCCCCCCGTCTATTTCGGCGCACCCCTTACACAGGAGGCTCTATCCTTGACCCAATTCAGGCCTTTTGCTAGTCGCCTCGCGTTTGTGATGGGTTGGGTTCTTCACCAGACTAATAATTTCCGCTCCTCCAGAGGCACAGCTGGACAGGAAGGTCATTGGCAACGTGACCCTGGCGGAGCAGCTGCAGCAGCTGGACGCTGCCGAGGAGGCAGAACGCGTGCGCGGGTGGCTTGTGAGTGCCCAGAGTTGCGACGTCGCGAACGTCACCGGGGAGCTCGAGAAGGCCCGGCAGGGCTACCTCGACTCCGCGTTGAGGAGGATTCGAATGCGACAAAACAGCGTGAAATGCACCTTTCGACAGTCTGCGCGGATTTCTTGGGCCTTCGCCGCCCCTGGCGCCCAGCACAGGTCCAAGAAATCTGCGCGGACCGTCGAAAGCCTACAGTCGAGCATCTGATTGAGAGACCTGCTCCCTGAAAGCTGGGCCAGCGTCTCTTAACCACTTTGCCGGAAAGCTGGCCCAGTTGCTTGAGCGCGTTCGCCCCTCCAGCGTTAACACGATCACTTGGCCGAGGCCTGTTTTAAAGCAGCTTCCGGAAAGGTGGGCCAGGCTTCTTAACTTGTATTTTTTTGGATCATGTTCGGCTGTAGTTATGTTTATGCAGTTTTTTCATATTCTAAGGATGCTCGAGGGTAATGCCTCTCGCCTCGACTCCGAGCTCGCCAGGCAAGTCCAGGAGTTCCGCTCGCAGCTCAGTGGCGAGCTCTCCCAGCTCTGGGACTACCTCCAAGGCGAGGGCAGTAGCGCGAGCGGCTGGCTGGTCGAGTACGTTGAGCGCAATTTGAACGACACCTGTCACTTGCAAGGGCCTCTCTGGAATCACTCCTGCAATACCAGCGAGCTCGCCAGCAACCTGCAGCTCGCGAGCGTGGCCATGGAGCACTTCCAGGGGTGGATCGAGAACGTCACCGGCATCGAGGTCTCCTGGCTGGACTGGTTCGGGAACCTCTCCGCCATCGAGGCCGAGACCTCTTGGCTCCGCAACCTCACGCTTGCGGGCGCTTGGAGCCTGGGCCAGCTGGATCGCGAGGCCCTCCAGGAGCTCGCCGACCAGGCGAAGTCCTACATCGCGGAGGTGGCCGCCCAGGTGGAGGGCTACCTCAACAATGCCAGCACGGGCGGCGAATACGCGTACCAGCTACCGATTGGCGCCTTCGCACAGGCGGACAGGATCGTCTTGTGGACCTCGCACTTTCTGAAGCCGGCCTCAGCCAGCTTAGAGTTCTTGGAGGAGGTCCAGGCCGTCGCGAGCATGGCCGCCTCGGAGCCAGAGCCAGAGCCGGAGCCAGAGACCGAACTGCTGGACCTGGCCCAGGAGTTCGACACTCAGGTTGTGCAGAAGTTGTACGAGATGATCGACTATTGGACGAAGGCGAACCAGACGGACAAGGCGATCGAGTACATTGAGCAATTCTGCCAGGAGCTTAACCGGACGATCGACGTCGCGCTTGAGCTGAGGGTAGAGTACGACCATGAGATCCAGGTTGGCAAGGCTTCTGTTTGCACCCAGCCCCCCCCCCCCCCCCCGATGGTCCAGGCTGGCCTCAAAATGCCCCCCCGAGTAGTCCCAGCTGGCCCTCAACAGGCCTTCCGAGTAGTCCAGGGCGGTCTCCCAACGCCCCGGCGCCGCCTTCAGCGGCGCCCCTGGAGCGCTCCACGCCCCATGGTTGGGGTGTTGAGAACGCCCCAGATTATTCGGGGAGCCTGTAAAGCCCCAGCTGGGACTACTCCGGGGGGCCTGTTGAGGCCAAGGCCAGCCAGGACCACCTGGGAGTGAGGCTGTCTGCACGCAGCCCGGAGCCTTATCAGCTCCAGGTGTCCTTCGGGTTCCTGGACAGCCTGCGGTCCGCGCTCGCGGACCTGGAGGGCCTCAACGCCTCCGCCATCGAGGCAGCAGCGAGTTCGGACCCTGTGGCTTTGCGTCGATTTCGATTCCGAGGACCTCCATCTCGATCCGATCCAACCTCCGCACGCCCACGTCGGTGTGGCCTTCGCCGTGCAGGCCTCGGCGCGGGCATGCAGGGCGCCCGCCTGCATGCCCGCCGCGCTGCGGCCGAGGTCCTGCCGGTGCGACGCGTTTCGGTTGCCGAGTCGCTGTTCTGATTCCATCTCCGTGGTATCGCTGGGAGGGAGGTGTGTACACCTTAGGCGATGCTTAAGAAAACTTAAGTTTTCGGCCAGAGTCTCGATTATTCTTAATGTTTCAATGTAAATCCTAAGATTTCAATAGAAATTTCGTTTTTTTATTCAAGTTCTGAGACTATGAATTTCTTAACCCATGATTTCTTAAGCATTTCGCAGGGTGTAATTTTTCTCGGCGGGGATTATTAAGGATCGGGGTTGGACAGGCCCCCCTTTAGTAAAACGTGGTTTAGTGAAAACGACCTGAGGCCCAAACCTGGCGGGCGCAAGCCTGGACACTAGCGGCCACGGCGCCCTCTCGAGAACCGAAAACGGACAATTCACTAATCGACGTGTCACTGTTGGGGCTTCTGTCCACCCCTGAAAGGAGCATCCTGGATCATCCTGCGAAAAGTCCACGCACGAAGCCGAAAGAGCGCACAGGGTATGGACGTCCGAGCGATGGCCAGTCTTGGGTCGTCCTGTCGAGGCGAACCTGGTCCCACAGTGGGCGGACCAGTGGCAGGTGGAGTGCGAGAGAGTGAATGCATCTGCGATCGCGGATTTCATCGAGCGCATGCGCGACGACTGCCCGCTGTGCGTGCAGATGTTGAACCTCACCTCCATGGACATCGACGGAAAACAAAGCTGCGCAAACATATACTTTCGACGGTCCGCGCAGGATTTCTTGGATCTGCTCCGGACCTCCCTCCCTGGCGCGCGGAGCGCGCCAGTGGCGGCGCCGGAGGTGCCACCAGGGGGGTCCAGCGCCGATCCAAGAAAGCCGCGCGGACCGTCGAAAGTTTCTGGAAATTCAGTTCTCCTTCCTTCAGGACAGCTTCTCGTACTGGGTCGCGATGGCGCACGACTGGATCGAGGGGGTGGACCTCTCTGCCCTCGAGGCGAACCTCACGCAGTGGCAGGTGCTCCTGCAGGGCGTCGACCCCGACGAGGTCTACAATTCCTTCGTCGTCGTCGTCGTCGTCGTCGTCGTCGTCGTCGTCGTTGTCGTCGGTCATCGTCGACCCCGACGAGGTCTACAACGTGACTCTCAGCTTCTTGCAGGCCTTCCAGCTGGAGGAGGTCGAGGAGGGCATCTCCGTTGCCGCGCAGTGCGCCGAGACGCTGTTTCAGGACGAAACGGGTGTTTTTGCTTAAGAAGTGTTTGACAATATCATTTCAATGTTCTTCTAGGGGTGGACTCCAGGGAAGGATGGGACCGTGGTCCAATCTTTCTTGGATCGTGAGAGGAGGGCGGAGAGCGAGAGAGAGGGAAGGAGAAGAGAGAGGGAGAGAGAGAGAGTGAGCAGAGGAGAGATGAGACGGGCAGGGAGCAGGCTGCGCTGGTTGCCGCCATTGCCCCGCGACCCCCGCCTCGATTACCACCCAGGGTAGCCTGGATCGCGATTCAATCTTGTTGTGATCGCGGGAGGAGAGGAGAGAGAAGAACGCCGTCGAGGCAGGAAGAGAACCAGCTGCCCCGTTTGCCCCGCGATCCCTCCGATGGCCACCCAGTGGCGGAATGGAGAGATCCACTTCTCCGGGTTTCGTGAGAGGAGACGGGAGAGGAGAGGAGGAGGAGGAGGAGGAGGAGGATGAGGCGGAGGATTGGAGGAGGAGGCGGAACAGAAGGAGGAGGACAGACGGAGGGCCAATTGCACGCTGGAGTGGGGGAGAGTGAGTCTGTCCTCTGTCCTCCTGTTCTTTCCCCTGGTCCTTCACATTCTCGTTATCGTTTTTTTTCTCAACCATCCTGTGGTGTTGGTTCCCCGTTTTGAAGAGACAGCGCCCCGCGTTCCTCCTCTCCCCTCCTCTACTCCTCCTCCCCATCCTCCCTCAATCCTCATCCTAATCATCATCATCCTCATCCTCATCCTAATGATGATGATGATGATGATGATGATGATGATGATGATGATGATGATGATGATGATGATGATGATGATGCTGATGATGCTGATGATGATGATGATGATGATGATGATGATCATCATCATCATCACCACCACCATCACTTCATCATCTCACCCATTTCGGCACACCCCTCGCACGGTTCGTGGCCCCTCACCTCCCGCGCGCCTCCACCTCCTCCCTCTGCGTCAACGCCACCCATGACAGCGCTTCGCGGCCTAATATGGAGCTCCACCGAAGGCTCCAGTGGCAGCGGTTGCATGCGTCCCCGCCATCCAATTCGGCACACCCCTCACACGTTTCGTGGGTCCAGAGGGAGCCCCACCGACGGCCCAAAAGGCCGAGGTTGCATGCGTCCCCGCCGCCCAATTCGGCACACCACTCACACGTTTCGTGGGTCCGGAGGGAGCTCCACCGAAGGCCCAAACGGCCGAGGTTGCATGCGTCCCCGCCGCCCAATTCGGCACGCCCCTCACACGTTTCTTGGCCCCAAAGGAAGGAAGCTCCACCGAAGGCCCAACAGGCCGAGGTTGCATGCGTCCCCGCAGCGTGCTTCGGCACATCACTCACACGTTTCTCGTGGCCCCAGAGGGAGCTTCACCGAAGGCCCAAAAGGCCGAGGTTGCATGCGCCCCTGCCGTCCAATTCGGCACACCCCTTCTACGTTTCGTGGCCCCAGAGGGTGCTCCCACCGAAGGCCCAAAAGGCCGAGGTTGCATGCGTCCCCGCCACCCACTTCGGCACACCCCTCAATCGTTTCGTGGCCCCAGAGGGAGCTGCACCGAAGGCCCAAAAGGCCGAGGTTGCATGCGTCCCCGCCGCGTACTTCGGCTCCCTCTTCACACGTTTCGTGGCACCAGAGGGAGCCCCACCGAAGGCCCAAAAAGCCGAGGTTGCAAGCGTCCCCGCCACCCACTTCGGCACACCCCTCACACGTTTCGTGGCCCCAGAGGGAGCTCCACCGAAGGCCCAGAAAGCCGAGTCTGCATGAGTCCCCGCCACGCACTTCGGCACACCACTCACACGTTTCGTGCCCCCAGAGGGAGCCCCACCGAAGGCCCCAAAGGCCGAGGTTGCATGCGTCCCCGAAGCCGGCACATCACTCACACGTTTCGTGGCCCCAGAGGAAGCTGCACCGAAGGCCCGACATGCCGAGGTTGCATGCGTCCTTGCCACCTAATTCGGCACACCCCTCACATTTTTCTTGGTCCAGAGGGAGCTCCTCCGAAGGCCCAAACGGCCGAGGTTGCATGCGTCCCCGCCGCCCAATTGGGCACACCCCTCACACGTCCCGTGGCCCCAGAGGAAGCTCCACCGAAGGCCCAAAAGGACGAGGTTGCATGCGTCCCCGCCGCGTACTTCGGCTCCCCCTTCACACGTTTCGTGGCCCCAGAGGGGGCTCGACCGAAAGCCCAAAAGGCCGAGGTTGCATGCGTCCCCGCCTCCTCACACGGTTCGTGGTCCCAGAGGGAGCTCCACCGAAGGCCCAAAAGGCCGAGGTTGCATGCGGCCTCGCCACGCACTTCGGCACACCACTCACACGTTTCGTGGCACCAGAGGGAGCTGCACCGAAGGCTGCAAAGGCCGAGGTTGCATTCGTCCCCGCCGCGTTCTTCGGCACACCACTCACACGTCCCGTGGCCCCGGAGGGAGCTCCACCGAAGGCCCAAAAGGCCGAGGTTACATGCGTCCCCGCCGCCCAATTCGGCACACCCCTTCTACGTTTCGTGGCCCCAGAGGGAGCTCCACCGAAGGCCGAAAATGCGGAGGTTGCATGCGTCCCGGCCACCAAATTCTGCACACCCCTCACACGTTTCGTGGCCCCAGAGGGAGCTGCACCGAAAGCGGCACCCACAACGTGGTACTCGCAGTTGCATATGGTTGGGTCCTTTGTCAGGTTTTTCCCCGCATCCTAAGTGGGGCTCTTGTTTTCTCTGCACACCCTCCGCGCAGGATCTCCTCCTCCTGCCTCTCCTCTGCTCCTCTTTGCTTTCTCCTCCGCATCATCATCACCATCACCATCACTCCCCACTCATCATCATCATCACCATCAGAATCACCATCACCATCCCGCGATCACTCACCATCATCGGCATCGAACGATCATCATCATCATCACTACTCGCTGACTTGAGGCCTGAATATGGAGGAAGTCTCGAGCGGGAGCCTCGTCTGTGAGTGAATTGCGAGGAAGTCTCAGGCGGGAGCCCCCTCCCTATGGGGCCCGCACTTCATGTTTGAATCCGAGCGGGTCATCCGCAACGTGCAACTGTCGTCACTTTTGGGCTCTTGAGACTTGAATATGGAGGAAGTCTCGAGCGGGAGCCTCGTCTGTGAGTGAATTGCGAGGAAGTCTCAGGCGGGAGCCCCCTCCCTATGGGGCCCGCACTTCATGTTTGAATCCGAGCGGGTCATCCGCAACGTGCAACTGTCGTCACTTTTGGGCTCTTGAGACTTGAATATGGAGGAAGTCTCGAGCGGGAGCCTCGTCTGTGAGTGAATTGTGAGGAAGTCTCAAACGGGAGCCCCCTCCCTATGGGGCCCGCACTTCATGTTTGAATCCGAGCGGGTCATCCGCAACGTGCAACTGTCGTCACTTTTGGGTTCTTGAGATTTGAATACGGAGGAAGTATCAGGCGGGAACCTCGTCTGTGAGTGAATTGTGAGGAAGTCTCAGGCGGGAGCCCCCTCCTTATGAGGCCCGCGCTTCATGTTTGAATCCGAGCGGGTCATCCGCAACGTGCAACTGTCGTCACTTTTGGGCTCTTGAGGTATGAATATGGAGGAAGTCTCGGGCGGGAACCTCGTCTGTGAGTGAATTGCGGGGAAGTCTCCGGCGGGAGCCCCCTCCCTATGGGGCCCGCACTTCATGTTTGAATCCGAGCGGGTCATCCGCAACGTGCAACTGTCGTCACTTTTGGGCTCTTGAGATATTAATATGGAGGAAGTCTGGAGCGGAAGCTTCGTCTGTGAATGAATTGCGAGGAAGTCTCAAACGGGAGCCCCCTCCCTATGGGGCCCGCGCTTCATGTTTGAATCCGAGCGGGTCATCCTCAACGTGCAACTGTCGTCACTTTTGGGCTCTTGAGATATGAATATGGAGGAAGTCTCCAGCGGGAGCCTCGTCTGTGAGTGAATTGCGAGGAAGTCTCAGGCGGGAGGGGCCCGCACTTCATGTTTGAATCCGAGCGGGTCATCCGCGACGTGCAACTGTCGTCACTTCTGGGCTCTTGAGATATGGATATGGAGGAAGTCTCGAGCGGGAGCCTCGTTTGTGAGTGAATTGTGAGGAAGTCTCAGGCGGGAGCCCCCTCCCTATGGGGCCCGCATTTCATGTTTGCATCCGAGCGGGTCATCCGCAACGTGCAACTGTCGTCATTTTCGGGCTCTTGAGATAATATGGAGGAAGTCTCGAGCGGGAGCCTCGTCTGTGAGTGAATTGCGAGGAAGTCTCAAACGGGAGCCCCCTCCCTATGGGGCCCGCACTTCATGTTTGAATCCGAGCGGGTCATCCGCAACGTGCAACTGTCGTCACTTTTGGGCTCTTGAGATATGAATATGGAGGAAGTCTCGAGCGGGAGCCTCGTCTGTGAGTGAATTGCGAGGAAGTCTCAGGCGGGAGCCCCCTCCCTATGGGGCCCGCACTTCATGTTTGAATCCGAGCGGGTCATCCGCGACGTGCAACTGTCGTCACTTTTGGGCTCTTGAGATATGAATATGGAGGAAGTCTCGAGCGGGAGCCTCGTCTGTGAGTGAATTGTGAGGAAGTCTCAGGCGGGAGCCCCCTCCCTATGGGGCCCGCACTTCATGTTTGAATCCGAGCGGGTCATCCGCAACGTGCAACTGTCGTCACTTTTGGGCTTTTGAGATATGAGTATGGAGGAAGTCTCGAGCGGGAGCCTCGTCTGTGAGTGAATTGTGAGGAAGTCTCAGGCGGGAACCCCAGGAGCAAGAGGAAAGGGTAAAGGGTAAGCTGAACAGATTCTCATGTGGGGTCCTACCGTCGGAGTAATTTTTGATTGTTTTTGCGTTGAAGCTGTTTTTAGGAAATTTCTCTCTCTCTCTCTCTCTTTGTCCCTCCCTTCCTTCCCATTTCTAGGTATCTCTGTCATTTTTCCCCACATGTTTCGTGGGGGTCTGGTTTTCTTCCCTGCCGCGCCGCACCCGCGTCTCACACCTCCCCCCTCCCCTTCTCCTTCTCGCACAGCACAGCACAGCACAGC